TCAAATTGACAGCACAAGAAAAATGGTGCGCCCTAGGCAAGTTCACATCTCATTTCGGTGTGAAAATTAACACCATGCAGCATGCAAACTTCTTGCACGATCAGCAAAGCAGTATTATCACAATTCCTTAACAGAAAAGCCAATGTTGTTCATCCTAAGCTCTGAAGACTGCTAAATTTCAGCCAGACACCAGAGGTAGATATTCATTTATATATATATATATATATATATATATATATATATATAGCTACACAACGTATGTGTATATATATATACATACATATATATATATATATATATATATATATTCATATATAAATGAGCCAGAGATCCGATAATTCATTTTGCATCCTGCATGAGTCATGAGTTAAGTACTTCAATGTTATAGTCTGAACTCAGTCAAATGAAAAATGGAACAACTGAGTCACGAGCTAAGTCGGATTCCATAATCTGTGAGCGAGTCCGGAGCTGACTCAATGCATTCGGGTCAAACCCAAGTCTGGTGCTAACGACATCTCGAGACTAGTATCCCATTCTTTGCACTACCCGGATGACGATATCTTTCCCAAGGCCCTGTAGTCCAGGATATATCAATATCATACTCAGCCGGTAGATAACACTCTTCTGTAAATTACGCGTGAGAGTTTTTCCAGGCACGTTCCCTAACCGCTTCCACAATGCCCCCCACTGACCACCAACCAACCAAGTTCGCCGCGTCCTAGGAGCAACTCGCATTCAAATGGGAATTGAGATCCCAAAATGGCGAAGGTTTTCTACTCCCATCGAACGAAAAGAAATTCACGACCTTCGCCTCTAAACAGCCTCATTTCCTCTGTTCAGCCCTGGATTACCGGGCTGCTCTGTTTAGCGTCTTCGCGTACTAAACGCCGCCACTTTTAGTACGAATCGGTACTAAACTGCGTTCCCCTCTTAGCAAAGATCCGTATTAACTAGGCTCGAGGGCGTGTTGTTTATCACGCTTGACTCAGTTTCATATTCGATATTCAGCAGACTTTTTAAATTTGCCTATGAATTAGCATACAGATGCAGCTTAATCTCCTGACCACAATGAGCACAAAATCTCGGACCGGTTCGCCCTATTACCGGAGACATCACAATATGTAAGATCACCATAAACAGTGCGGACTCCTTCAATCCTTTCCAAAATCGGTGTTTATACATATTAGCCTTCTGATTACGATACGCACAAACTTTTGGATCGATATGCTGTATCAAAAAAGTTATAGCTTTTTAAATGCAAAGGCTGCTAAGGTATGCCATATATGTGGCATGGAAAACATTTTCTTCATCCTTGACTCAGCTTCATATTCGATATTCAGCGGACTCCTTACATTGAACTGAAAATTTCTTAATACTTGTGGCGTATTTTTCTGAGCATAATTAGCATAAAATCTTCGACCGGTACGCCCTATTACCGGAGATAGAGCAAGATTAAAAATCCCAATAATGATGGCGACTCCTTCAATTCTTTCCAAATTCCGCGTACGGGTAGATATTGACCTGACTACAATCGATACCAAATCTTGGACCGGTACGCTGTATCAGAGAAGTTACAGCCCTTCCAACGTCAAGGTCGCCAGGACAAGACTTACCGCATTTTCTTTAACGTTGAACGTTGGTTGAGGGCCACATCCATTCGGTTCGTCTTACTCTGTGGGTCGTTATCGCTGGTATTGCCGCGGTCGTTCTGGGCACGATGTTATTTGATATACCTTTTTGTGGGGAACCTACAGCTACAGTAGCTTACTTTCTGTGTTCCCTGACAGGCTAGACTTTTTTAATTGGTTGTTGCCTGATGCGGTATTATGTTGCTTTGTTTTCCGGAGGTAAAGGAGCCAGACCTGCGGACATGCAGAGGTGTCCAAAGCTTGCTAGGGTATTGGGAGCCCCAGTTATCCACAAGCGACCGAACGACATGGCCTGTCTTGTCGAAGTGGTGTCCGGAGCTTTAGCTACCGTACACCAGTCATCTGACCGCGCAACCCGTCTTGTTGGAACAGTGGCCAAAGCTCCATCTGTCCTCCAGTCCTCCATCTTACCAATCGATGCGCCATGGTCGATAGCCATTCTGTCCAGAAGGCAATGTCCTTGTGCCAGGTCAGAGGTCATCATAAGTGCCCCAACTTACAAAAAATTTGTGTGCAGATAAGTTTTACTGACGGTCTATCCTTTCCAAAAGATGGTGACCTTGGGTCAGAGCAGGAACCGGAAAAAAGCCCGAAACAAAAATCAAAGTTTGCAGGCAACTGCATGCTCCGAGCCTGTGAGACTGATAGGCACAAAACATCTACTAACAGAAATATGCACCATTCGACGCCGTTTGGTGGGTAATCTGGCGAGGTCCATCTTTTCACACATCTATCCGGCCACGATCTCCGCACAAGCCCTGACGCTCTCCAGCTATCACCCGCAAAGCAGCTGCACCACTGCGACCATCTGTCTCAAAAACGCACTTCGTCCACACAATTGCACCTCGATCTGAAACATCTAAGCTTGGACTACCGGCTTTCAAACAGACGTAGGGTCGGTTTTGCCTATGTTCACGCAAATGAGAGGTCCTTGGTCAGATTATCCTTCCAGTCTAAGTTGGTAGCACCTTCGACCATCCATGTAAACGGTACTTTTTTGAGTGGATGAATAGCCAATGAACCAGATGGCAGTGTTTATGTCCTGGTGCGGATGTCGAGCCAGTGACAATGGCGATGACCTTTGACCCTTGAATCGCATATCAATATCACTGTTGTGCATCGAAATCGTTCTAGTTTTTTTGTCACGTGTCTTCACCAAGGCCAAGCTAGGTCGAACTATGATTTTTGTAAACGGCTTTGCTTTTTGAAGCTGTTCCGATGTGACACTGAATGGTGTTAAAGCTATGAAAGTTTCCTAATATCGCTGGGTGGGTCCATGCAACAACAGCTTTTCCTGCTTTGATCTGGCATGCCATATCGTATGGGTACCGACAGTGTAGGACTGCTCATCTAGGAAGCCAGAGGTACGGGGTTGGATTCTTCGCGGTGTCCACTCTTCCTGCCAGGATGGGAGGCAGGGGACGCCACATAGCCTCAGCATCTGAGTGCGTTGTAAAAGCCAAGTGACGAAAACGACGTCCCAGGTCACACCTGGCGGTGTTCACTATTTTTAATCCTCTGGTAAGGCTTTCCGAACCCATATGACGCCATCCTCTGCATTGTTTTAGCAATTTTAGCTCATTACATATGAGGAGACAGCTAGGCACTCTAATTAGATGGATATGACCTGATTGATCTGTCCAATATTACGCTCATCCACATTTAATCACACCCATTTAGTGCAGCTTGACTAGACCTTTTCCATGCCGTGTCTGCCGTAGCCATAGCCTGCCAGTTTCCAACATCTTTCGGGGAGGCCATGAGGCACCATCATTGGGCGAAGGTGAAACACTCCCATTAAGCCGAGCCTGTCATGGCCGGGTCTGTCCTGTCCTGTCCTGTCCTGTTTGTCTTGAACAGAACATAAAAGTGTGGGCTGGCCAAGGCGGGCGGGCTTCGTGTTCATCTGTTTTCTGTTGTTTTATTCTGGTCGTCTTGTTTTTGTTCTCCGCTTTCCGCCCTCTGTACTCGATCCTTGGACTTTTAACCCTCCCCTCCCCCCGCCCAAGTCTTCTGTCCTGCCGTGTCATCTGTCATGCACTACCGTGTGTTCTGCTTTTTTGTTTGTCCCATCCTGTCCCGTCGCTTCTGATATCTAGCTTTTGCGCCAGGAGAACGTCCTGACTATGTATCTGACGTCAGAGCATGCATCACGGTGGCCTTTACCTACAATGAATTTTTTCAGCGTTGTTACTAGCATGATGAGTGAATGGAACGCTCCATTACTTTGTGTTTTAACTAAGAAAAAATGTCACATGGTCTGAAACGCACGCTAGCAAAAAGTGCAGTCATACCAGGTGGTTCGTTCTAAATTGATGTCCGAAATACGGAGCCCCTAACATTCCAGCGCCAACAGTACGTTGTGTTTATGATATCTAAGAATCAAATCGTTTAATTAAAAAATTCAAACAGTGGTCATCCTGTGCAACTGCACCCAGGCATTGATGTGACATATATAACATGCTTGACGACGCTACAGGCAGTGCAGGTCACCTTAAAAATCATTGAAGTCTTCAGTGACCTCAGATCAACTGAAACCAGCATTTTAAAACAAATATCAGAACAATTACACCAACAATATTGACCGTAGACCTGCGTAACTAGGTGAAATGAACGAACGCATCCTTGTCCGTTAGGATCATATCACAGAGTTAAAAACTAGATTTTGTGATTTGTTGTTTATGCTTTTTCGGCACTGAATTTTGAAGTCATGTCAGTTCCGGATAAGGTCATGTCATTTCAGGCTAAGGTCATGTCAGTTCATGCTAAGGTCATAGCGGTTCAGACTAAGATCATGTCAGGTCAGGTCAATTCATCTAATGCAATTGTTCCGCTTCTCCGGTCACGTGTCATGGATTTGGACGAGTATGTTTGAGGTATTTATTACTTCTATTTTCCGCCCTATTTATATCAAACGGGTGTACCAAGGCGTTTTATTTCAACACGAATTTTGCCTCACGTGACGTCTAATGGTAACCTAGGGTAGGGAGTTTTGTGTGGTGTGAGCGGCCTTGCTGTAGAACAGGGCAGACCATGGTTGAGAATCTTGTGTTTGTCACGACGGTACAAGCTGCAACATTTTTTTACTCCAATATTGCCAGGGTTCGCAAAGTGCGAAAAAATGTGGGCAATCAAAACCTTTTCTACCGTATGTTATGGACGGGCAAAGCCATCCGTTTAGGAATCATTTGGAGGTGTGAAATGATTTGTAGTGTAGACAGTGGAGGGAATTTCCCAGTTTCACCTAAAGTGAACTCAAGTTTACCTTGGCTTTGTCTGCTGAGCGTGCCGTTCTGTTAGGGCTCCCTGTTTTCACTCTTAGAATTTCATATGCATTTGAATGTTTTTCAGGTCAACAGGTTCCTCCGTTCACGGGCTCCGTCGTGGCCGGCTTCGTCGTCGTGCTTACAGATCCGGCGCTGATGTCGTCAATAACAGCACCGTGTCACCAGCTTCGACGTAGTTTCACCGTCTTCGGCGCGTCACCTTCGTGGTATCACGATTAAGGGCTGCGTAAACACTGCCAGATCACTTCTTGACAAAGCTTAGAATTCTTACGGTCTGCAAATTCCAATGTCTGTTTCGGGAAGCCCACACGCGCAGCGGGAGAAGATGTAGCAGGTGTCCGCCTCCTTCGAAAAACTAACTGATCTTAAACTGCGGTACACCTCTGGGTATCCAGCGTTGATGTTCTGTAGCCAAGTCATTGTGACTGCACTGGCTCCGATGCTGTGCATCAAAAACCGTCGCGGAGCATATGTGCTACGTAACCGCCTATTTGTCTCAGGTACGATGCTGGGAGCTCTAGCATGGCATAGCGATCTCCTCCGCCAGGTCAAGTTTGTTGGTATGTTTCCTGTTCAGAAAAATGTGGTGTACCGTGTACAGTCAACTCAGAGATGCAACTTGTGTGTGCTCGTTAAAGTGTACTTTGTTGCAGGCATGGGTTATGCGACATTCTATATGAACCATTGAGTCACTAATAAATGCTGTGACGCATGGTGCATTGTGCTTCGATGTGTATCTACGTTGTTTCTGAAAGAAGGCGACATCGGAAACTACACAATGGAAACAGATGTGGAGTTTTCGAGACCTTTTAGAAAGCACAACGAAGTTTGGGGCTGTGTGGAACTATAAAGAAGAAGGAATGTTTTCAGGAAAAGTCTAGGAGAACAAGAGAAGCGTTGGAGAATAATGTGGTGTAGGAGGAGAGTCTTGGTAAGTCGAAAAGGGAGAACACAGCGCAATAAAGGCCCCTGATGAAAATCCTCAAAGGTTTACCGGAATTCACCTAATTTCATTCATCTTATAATCCGCTTCCTCCGGCTTTCGCGCTCATAGAGGACATCAAGGAATTTTACAAACTTAACAGACCCTCGGATATGCGGGACGGAGGAGAACGTGGATAGAACACTGGGGTGGTAGATATACTGGTGCATAGCACACTGCACTACGCTAGTAGATGGTAGTACACCAGGGGGAGGGGTATTACTTTTTCCGGTTAGTGGCTCAAGAACCTTTCCATCCCAGCGCAAGGTATTCACCAGCTTCCATCTTGCGACGTGGGAATCGGGGCCCCTTGATCCATTCCGAGGCCCTCAGGGAATGTATTGTATACCGGTCCCCTCCCCGACGCGGCCTGTCTTCTCAGCGGGGCAGCTGCACCCGGATAGAGGCAGTGGCTCTCACTGATGCAGGAAGATCACATACGGTCGTAGGGAGTCAAATAATTTGCACAGGGGACCCAGTTCCACTCAACGAGCCACTGGTCGAAGCGGAGTAGAGAGCTCCCGGTTATTACTGAGGCCTCCTGTGAGAATCGGAGCCCTTAAACTGTCTCGTTAGTCATGATGCACCATTTCACTGCTTTTAATCTTCTGTCGTTCTCAGAGGGTCCGAACCAACGGAGAAGGCACGTGATGGGCCGTGATGGATACCAAATGGGCCTCTGGCCGACTCGAGCAGCACAAAATTTATTTTTACGTATGCACTGTGATCAGAGGACATCGTGTCAGACAAGAGAACCGCAACCAATGCAACTTGCGAGGTCCTTTGAATGCCATTCGTGGGCCCAGACAGTGTCCATGCCTGGAAAATGGGTCTCAGTCCGACAAAGGGCCGATTGTTGGTGATCTCGACGGAAGTGAAGGTCTTTTCTCAGATGGGCCCCTTTCACCACCAGAGACAGTTTGATTGACATCAGAGGGCTCCGGTCCTTCGGACTGGAGATCTCCGGTCAGCCCTTCGGCCCTGTGTGCTCTGTAATCGGGCCGTTGATTGTCAGTCCTGAGCGAACATCTGGATCCCGAGGGACCGAAGGGGCCAAGTGCCCCTTATGCCTGGTTCCACCCCTCCCTGTCTGTGTCCGTATGTGGATCTATAAGATTCCTTATGTTCAAAGCAAGCCAACGTTATTACGCTGCGGCGTCTGCGGCGTCTGCGGCGTCAAATTAGATCACAGTGCATGTCTGGCGCTTGTAAAGATCAAGGATCGGTCACCCACCTCCAATGTTATGATATCAACGTCAAACGCCGTTTTCATCACACTGGGCCGAGTACACTGCAACCAATAATGTGCATATCGGAGCGCCGGTTATAAGCATCCAGGCTTTGATACCTATGTAAAGCATGAAGGAAACGTTTTCCAATAGCGCTACATAATAGTCGGCTTTTGGCTGTAGCTCGGTCCAAAATTGAATTATTTGAAAATTTTAAAATTTCCACACTGCTTTTAAAGTCTTGCATTATCTATGTTCTACCACGGGAAGATCCGTTGACCATCATTCTTCCCGCACTAACTTAAATTAAGGTTCATCATTACGCTCCAACGGTAACCTATGCACGCATGAACGGAGATCAGACAAAATCGTCCTGCTGATTCCCGTCCCCTAAACGTAGCAATCGTAATGGATCGAACTGGTACCTTTTTTAAATTTCATGACCATGGCTTAAACGGATGTAACATGAAGGGGCTTTTGTAATTGAGGATGAATCTACCGCGTCGACTTTCCGAGCGAGAATTAATTCACCGCCGACAGATTCACATAAATTCACCACCTTTGTGTTGGCTTCTAAAATCAGACACCGACAATCCCCTCAAAACACATCACTCACGTACAATATGGTTATCGCCAGCGGTTATTCTAAAACAAAATATTTTACGATCCCGGTCACTCATGCACGCTCAGTGTGGAATGATGTGCCGTTTCTTGCACAATCTCTCTCCGAAAAATGAGATGGAAATTGGCCTATTGGTCAAGCAACAAATATTATCCCAACGGTGGCTGGAGATCGAATTAGACGATCAGAGTTATATTTCCGGAAATTTACCCACCATGTTACGGTCATGACATTGTGTGACAAGACGTTAAGCACGAAAATACACTCACATTCCTTGTTGTGATGGATTTCGTACCTAACATTACTCATAGCTCTTGGAGGTATCTTTAACGTGTTTTATGGTTGTTTGAATATTATAAGGCGAGTCATCTAGCGCTTCTAGTCATGTTTCCTACACACGATTGCGCTCTGTATTGTCCTTTGATCGAAACCATTTGCGTCATTCCATCTTGTAAGGGAGCCGAGTTATGAGCTTAAGAACACCTCATCATTTTATATCAAAATGTACCATGCAGCTTTAAAAATGCGTTGATTTTCCATTTCCGTAAATTATTTGCCACAAATTTTGACAGGCTGCAGGAAGCCGGTTGTGAAATTTAATTGGTACGTCGACGTTTCAAGCTAGGTTGGGTCAAACTAGCACGGTACCACAAACGGGCCAATTTTAGACATTCATGCGCGAAAATGAACATAGCAAAAATTGGATAAAATTGTTATATTACGATAGGAAATTTCTTTTTTCGTTTTCTTTTCTATACTCTTGGAAGTTTTAAATGCTTTTAAAACCAACCAGTTGATTGCAGAAACACGTATTCCAAATATTTCATCTTAAGTTTTTAACATCTAAATAAGTCAATGGGACTCCGACGCATGCCATTTTTTAGTCGCGTATTTCAGGAAAATGATGTCTGACAGGATCATCTCCGTACCTTCAGTTCGACATTACTATGTGATCCGATTTAATTTTTTGTTGTGTTTCTTACATAACGTAGATATTGCTTGCACCTTTTTAGGTACGATGAACCACAAGTGGTCATCTTGTTTAAAAATCGAGTTAACTAACAAGCAGCATTGTAAGCAGCTTCACCAAAAAAGCAAGCAACTTTAAAATCTGCTTTGCTTGCCACTCGTCGACATGTACTTAACGCATATTTGGACGCGCTGCTCAGCACTGTTTGCCAATTGCCGTTTCTTTCTCAACGTGTTGATCCATAGACTGACAAAGTTAGCCGTTGATTAAAGTTGGATAGTAAAGTTAGAGTTGTGTAAAAGGTTATCAAAAATGGTACAGTTATGGCTTCAACTGGAAACAAAATCATCACACTTGTATGTACATTAATATAGGTTACAGGTCGTTGTCGTCAGTCACTGCTGCTTTAAGACTCACTTAGCTGCTGAGGCCATACGGCGTCACATGCCTCTTACCCTGGCAGAAAGGGCGGGCGCCGCAGCGACTCGAACCCCGTATCTCTGGTTTCCCCAGAAGCACCGGAGTTCACCAGATGCGTCTACCAATGCACTTTCGGCACCCACAGATAGCTCATAGGGAATAAGCAACTTGCACCGACCGTTACAGCCATGGTCAAAACTTTGTATTAGCTCCAAAGTTCAGCGAGCCGTCACTGACAATTATGCTTTCAAAAGCAAAGCCAATGTTAAGTCTATGGGACTGCGACTAATAAAGTGTTTTTTTATTAGGGCGTCTCGGCAATATAGCAGTCGTTGGCTCTGTGGTAAAACACAACCCAACACACGAATCTGGTAGCGTGATTTACATGGCTCCGTAACTTTTCCTTAAAAGTGTTATTAAAGTGTTATTAAACTCTTTACCTTTGCTTGATGTGCTCTCTGAGATGACACCATTGCTAAACTTCTAATCTCAGGAATTTTTATTCCCAACTCATTTGCAGTCAAAGAAAAACAACAGACACCAAATGAAATTGAAGCACTACAAGCTGAGATGTAATGGAAATATCCGTGATGTAGTGGGACGAATATGAACACATAATGTGTTTACCCTCTCAAACGTTTGGTACTCAACTGCATTATGAACACATAAGACGTGTTGATCTTCTCGCAGGGTTGCTAAACATCACACAAAATGTTTAAGGTAGCAAAATTAATCGATTTTTAAAGACCCAATGACCGCGTTTACTCAACATTTGTTGCGAATCGGTCTCCAATTTAGAAAAGAGTCGAATGTTAGGTCTTCGTGCTCCGATTCAACAGGAGCTGACCGGGCAACAAACAAAACGTTAACCCCAAAAAGATTCCTGGTGCATGCGGTCAGTCCTTGCTGTTCATAGCGCTTGGCCAACGCACGGAAACCGACGCGACCGTTCCGGGCACGGCGGCCTGCGCAGCGAAGGGTTGGGGACGGCCTCCCCGTCCGACGCAGCGAAGGGTTGGGGAGGGCAGTTGTAAACAAGAAAGTTATCACCCACCCCATATCATCTGGCGAGGGAGTCAGATGCTTTGAAATTCCTCCGGACTAAATTCTACGAGGTCTGAGCCTCAAACCTTACCATGGGTTACCACCAATACTTACAATCGGCTAGGATGGTTCCTTAACGGGAGATCATCTGCCGCTCCGCTGTAACTGTGGCATCCAGCACTGGTTAACGTGAAAGCGTATTATTGCTAGTGACACCATAAACGCACAGTTATTCTACGTTTATGGAATAGAAAGCTGCTGGTATTGCGGTTGCTTCCATGAATTCCTGAGACGAGATATTTTACACGACTAACGCTTCTTCGGACAGTCGGTTTGTTCAGGGTCTTGAACTGGCATGTGTGTAATATGTTCTGCTAGCAATACGGCCCCGGGTACTGGAGCGACTTTGCTGAAAATATGCCCTCGGCAAGTGGGCTTAATACGAGAGGATCGTTGCCGACGTCATTGGCGGACCATGCGCGTGTCCACGTTGCTCTCGAGTCTTGTATGCAT